AATTATCTCAAATTCAAAATTTCCTCTAGCTTTCTTTTACTATTAACTCACCATATCATAAACTTCAAGGATCAAGGATAGAAACAGGACTTTAGTACTTATTCCAATCTGGACTTTTCCATTACACCTAATCTACTCACAAAGTTGCACTGGTTTCACAAAGGTGTGATTCTAAACTGATTTGCTTTAACCAGTGCAACTTTCTAAATGAATACTCCTAAAACAGATTTAAATGGATATATCTGTTTTGCTTGTGCCATATAGGCCTATAACTGCCCACAGAGAAAGTTGCACTTGCTTAACTAACCTGATTTTTATTCCAATTTAAGTGTAATTTCTGTCGGTAAGCAACCCTATACGGATATCTCATCTTGGATGATCTGTATTATTACAAGCGCCACTTGGTCAAAACTGATCTTATTTTTATTTTCAAATCCTCTCCACTGCACCCCTTAGTCTTGATAACGTAACCATCTTCTCTATTACCCTGAGGATGCATCATTGGCTCCCCCTTCACCCCACCCTCACCCCCCCCCCGCACACACACACTCCCCTTCCACCACATCTAAGCAGGGACCAAACCTGGCACTCTAACACAAGATTTCAAAGATCTGTTCTTTCTTTCTTTCTTAATCCAAACTGCTCATCTGCACCTTATTCTACCCTGAATCCTGTAACCTTCTCCTACTCTTCTGTCTTTCACCTATTTACCTAGCACTCCTGGAATCCATCAAAAATGCTGTTGCCAAAGATCAACTTCTTCACCTACTCCTTTAATCACAAAACACACACCCGCTGAATCCCTCCACTCCCTATCAAGTCATAGAATATCAGGGTTGGAAGGGACCCCTGAAGGTCATCCAGTCCAACCCCCTGCTCGAAGCAGGACCAATTCCCAGTTAAATCATCCCAGCCAGGGCTTTGTCAAGCCTGACCTTAAAAACCTCTAAGGAAGGAGATTCCACCACTTCCCTAGGTAACGCATTCCAGTGTTTCACCACCCTCTTAGTGAAAAAGTTTTTTCCTAATATCCAACCTAAATCTCCCCCACTGCAACCTGAGACCATTACTCCTTGTTCTGTCATCTGATACCACTGAGAACAGTCTAGACCCATCCTCTTTGGAACCCCCTTTCAGATAGTTGAAAGCAGCTATCAAATCCCCCCTCATTCTTCTCTTCCGTAGACTAAACATCCCCAGTTCCCTCAGTCCCTGAATCATTTTTGTTGCCCTCCGCTGGACTCTTTCCAATTTTTCCACATCCTTCTTGTAGTGTGGGGCCCAAAACTGGACACAGTACTCCAGATGAGGCCTCACCAGTGTCGAATAGAGGGGAACGATCACGTCCCTCGATCTGCTGGCAATGCCCCTACTTATACATCCCAAAATGCCATTGGCCTTCTTGGCAACAAGGGCACACTGTTGACTCATATCCAGCTTCTCGTCCACTGTAACCCCTAGGTCCTTTTCTGCAAGTCAATTGGATTGTCTTTGTTTTCAAGTCTTTACATAATTTATTCCTAGCCTCTCTTGCTCCTCTTGTTTCCTTTTGCTTTCCTCCTTCACCCCACCAGTAACGCCAGCCTCAATACCCCCGTTCCCTTCTTTCATTTCCAACTTTGTCTTCTTCCAGGCTTCCCACATGCAAGAAATGCCATCCCAAAACTATGTGCTAAGTTGTCTCACTCCTAAAAAGACCACTGCCACACTGACTACAAGAAATTTTAATTGAATTTAAATTTGTTAGGCCTTTTGACCCTAGGGACTGGATTGCTTGTCATGTATATATTTACAACAATATTATAACATACAATACACAGATCTAAACCATGGTTAAAATGAACCACTTTTGCATCAGAAAAAATAACCATTCCTTGAAGACAATTACCCCAGGTTTGCCTACTCACTTTCAGACCCTCCACCAATACAATGCAGTAATGAAAAGATTGAGAGGGGTCTGGACTGAGGGTTTTCACTTCTGAACTACTTGAAATATTTAGAATTTTTTTTAAAACCTGAGGTCTGCCATAAAGTTATAAGCCCTGTCCACATCTTACTATTGCAGCGTGTAACAGCCAGAAAAGGCCACAGATATTGATGGTGGAATTTATGTTAACAAAATATTTAGTTGGAAAAAATTAAGTAAATTTAAAGCTTTTTAATCTTAATGCTATCCGTGTCCTGCCCGTGTATATACCTGAGATTCTTTGCTGTTTTTTAAAAGCTTTATTGCATTTTACATAATACACAAAAATAAGGTAAAAATATACAAAAAGATACCAAGATACATAATGAGACAATAATTCTTCCATTATGTCCAATATCCCAAAGCAAAATACAAGAAAAGGAAGACAGACAGACTCAGAACCAGCTTATACCTAATATATATACAGGGTCGGTATCAAGTGAAATACTCAGCTACAGAAGTGCAGGTGGTTAGGAATATTATGGTGATGAGTGTGGTATAAAAACCTATAGAATATAATAGAATAGGAATGTTTTCACATTGTCAAGATTGAAAATACAATTTCTTTCAAATGTATAAATCAAAAAAGTACAACAGATAAAGTGATACTTCCAATGCTGAACGATTACAAAGTGATTAACAACGCATCTTGGTATGTGGTGTAATTTGTGTTTTCTGGTATAAGTATCTACATAAACAGTTAATGTTGCTACCTTAAAAAATATTGACAACATACTTAAAACTGGTTTTAGTTATTTTGGAGGAATGTCAATACTTTAGACCTAAAATAACAGAACGAAGAGACACAAAAGCTGTACAGAATTATATTAACTTCTTTTATTAATAAGCTAAATATATTCTCTATCTTAAAGTTGTTTTTCTAGATGCAGTATGATAGTGACAGTGGAAGTGTCTCTACCTCACCCCTCCAAAGTTATCAAAAGCTTGATTCTGAGTATCCGAGGCTAAGAAGGTAGTTCAGTTTTCATATGCAGTAAGTTTTTCGTCTCTCTGCTGAGACTACCCTACCATCAAAGATACCTAATCATACCCCATATGATGTTGGTTTATGCGGTGTGAACATATAATAAAAAAAAGGAAGGACTACAAATTCACTTCATGTAGGCCACCAAAGAGTTGTCAGTGGTAATGACTAGAACTGGCTGAAATTTTTCAGTCAATTATTAAATATGCAGAAAAATGCAGTTGCAAGTCAAATTCAATGAATAGTTTTGGCCAAATAAAAAATGGGGGGGAAGTTTTGAAAAAGTCAAATTGTGTAAATTTGACACAATATTTTTTAATCAAACTGTGACAGTTCAAAATTTTGTTTCAAAATGTCATTTTGAATCACTGTTCAAAATGCTTTATTTGACCTGAACAAAAAATTTTCAGTTTTTCATTGAGAAAAAACAACAACAAAAATAATTTTGTTTCAAAATCTTTTCTGGTTCAGCAACTAAACTGAAAAAAATCAATTATGCACTCTGCTCTGTAATGACTGATTCAGTACTGGACTGTATAAGCAATTTAGTAGGATTTATCTTTTAAACATACATGAATCCAGAAGCCTCTATTGCAGGGGTCGGCAACCTTTCAGAAGTGGTGTGCCGAGTCTTCATTTATTCACTTTAATTTAAGGTTTTGCGTGCCCGTAATACATTTTAACGTTTTTTAGGTCTCTCTCTATAAGTCTACATATTATATAACTAAACTATTGTCGTATGTAAAGTAAACAAGGTTTTCAAAATGTTTAAGAAGCTTCATTTAAAATTAAATTAAAATGCTGATCTTACGCCCCCAGCCCATGCCAGCCAGGGCCCCGCTCAGCCCACTGCCGGTCTGGGATACCGGCCCTGCCCACATAGAGTGGGTACTTACCTTCTCCCTGGTTCTAGCTCTTCCTTTCTCTCTGCACTGAGCTGAGGGTGGGAGTGCACTGAGCACAGGGTTGGGGGTGAAGGAGCAGGCTGGGGGTTGGGGTGTAGGGTCTGGCCAGGAGCTAGATGAGGGAGGGGACTCAGGGTTGGGGCAGGAGGTTTGGGTATGGAGTGCTTACCTGGACAGCTCCCATTTGGTGCAAGGGGTGCAGGTGGGAATGTGGGGGGGGCGGGTGCAGGAGCTCTTGGTTGGTGCTCAGGGTGGGGGTGGGAATGTGGGGGGTGCAAGAGTCAGGGCATGAGGTGTGGGGGGCTGGGTATGTGTGGGGGGTGCAGGAGTCAAGGCTGGGTGTGTGTGAGGAGGGTGCAGGAGTCAGGGCAGAGGGCTGGGGGCATGTGAGGGGGTGCAGGAGTCAGGGCATGGGGTGGAGGGGGCTGGATATGTGTGGGGGTGCTGAGTCAGGGCTGGGGTCGTGAGGGGGTGCTGGGGTCAGGGCAGGAGGCTGGGAGTGTGTGTGGGGGTGCAGGGGTCAGGGCAGAGGGCTGGGGGTGTGAGCTAGAGTCATGGGGATGCTCCCAGCCCCCTGCCCAGAGTGGCTCACGGCAGGGGTTTGGAGGGGATATGCAACTGATTCCACCCCCCTTTCCCCAAAGCCTGTCCCCACCTCTTCTCTGCCTCCTCCCTGGAGCAGAGAGCTCACTGCGGCTCCACTTCTCCCCCTCCCTCTCAAGTGCTAACAGCTGATCGGCAGCAGGGAGGGAGAGGAGGTGGGGCAGGAACTCAGCACACTGGAGGAAGAGGTGGGGGAGGGAGGAGCTTGCCTGCCCTGCAGCAGTAGCTGGCAGGACCAAGCTTCTTCACCCTGCCCCTGCAGGGGGGGCGGAGAAGAGCAGGCCAGGGAGAGCAGGCACGCTGCTGCCTGCCGGGGTCCCAGCCGCCGGCCCAGCTCAGCCCGCTGCCGGCCTGGGTTCGCCAGCGGTGTGAGCGGGGCTGGCGGTTGGGACCCAACAGGCAGCAGGGTGCCATTAAAAATCAGTACGCGTGCCATAGGTTGCTGACCCCTGCTCTATTGGATACTTCCTACTAGTCAGAAAAAAATAAAATGGCATTTAGTGTTAAGTAACCCCAATAAAGATTAAAATAACGTTGGTACCTCCTATTTTCAGCCAAACGTGCACCTTCATCTTTCAGCTGTTTACTTTTCTCCAGACAGTCTTCCAACAGAATCTCCTTTCTTCTCTTAGTGGCATGGAGCCAGTCAACATCATCATTATCAACTAGACCTTTGTCATCAGCAGCTTCAGCTTCAAACTGTTGGGAAGTGGCCTTCGAAACCTTCTCACCAATCTTCCTCTTCCACCCAAAGGAAGCCATTCTAAAAAACTAGATGAAAACATTTTTTAACAATTTGGTTTCTATGTGTATAGAGGAAAAAAAACATCACACAGTAGATTAATTTGCTCATCTTGATACAGAGAAAGTAATATATCAAACTGCCATTCAATCACATGAATATTGAATTGACTGGCAGTCTAGTGACCGCACAAGGCCAGTGTAATTTTGAAAGTATATGGGAAACATTTCTCCTTCCGGGTGATTAAAAAGAGAAGCAGTTGTCTGAAGTTGCTGAAAGCTGTAGAATGCTGAAGTCGTCCTGGCAGAGAGAGAGAAGACAGAGGCCACAAGATGCATCAAGATGGTCAAAGATGCATCATAAATTACAAAAGCCTGTGATAACTAGGATGTGTATCGACTACATTTTGGAAGGTGAATGGAATTTAGGGTACTGGTCTAAATCTATAAAGCTCTAAATATCTGGGGAACTGCACTCCTCTCTGCATCGTACTGCTACTGTGCTATCAGCAAGGTGTTCTCTGTGAAGGGCCTTAATTTTTTTACCACTGGGGCAGGCTGAAGGTTTCTTCCCCATTCAGCACGGAACAGCAGCCTGGTGGGTGGGGGGAGAGACCTTGGTGAAGGTGCGGAGGGAAAGAAGGTCCAGAAGAAGATGATTTAACCTTTATTTTTGGCAAAGCCACCGAGAGCCAAGGAAACGCGGATGATTTGTTTATACTGTGCTATAAAGCTAAATAAATGGCACGTATAATGACACGGCAGAGACCCGGGGGAGGGGGGAATCTGAGATTGTGTAACTTGCTGTTCAGCAGCTTACGCGTCCCCCTCGGCGCCTGATCTAGTCCACCCGCGGAGGAGCTGTCCTGACTCACAGCCACAGGCTCTGGGGCCCCCACCAGCCTCAGAGAGGGCAGGGGCGCTTTACTTGAGACTGGCCGACCCCAAACCGGCGCGTTAGCTCAGCTGACAGCCGCAGCCCGGGAGCCCACCCCACTGGCGGAGCGGGCCCGAAAGGGGAGGGGAGAAGAGCCGAGCCGAGCCGAGCCGAGCGCGGCCAGGGCGCGGGGTGGGCTCGCTGCCGGGGCCCTACGGAGGGAGGCCGTTACCTTACCCCCCTCGCCAGCTTTTGCTCTTCCGCCACCTGGAAACGCACGACCTTTGAACCCGCCCCGCACGGAAGCGGAAACAGCTGCCAACTGGGGGGAGACGGAAGTTGTTCCTCCCGGCCTGCCAGCTGGTTCCCCCAGCCGCGGAGAAAAGAGCAGGGGGCGGCTTGGCCCCGCCCGCAGACTACAACTCCCAGCAGGCCGTGCGCCCGCCCTCTCTCTGGGGCATGCGGGGGGGGCGGTCGCGCCGCTCTCTGGCGCCGTGGAGAAATGGGAACTTCTCTGGCTAAGTGTCAGGGCGTGGCCCTGTTACAAAAACAACAAGGAGTCCGGTGGCACCCTAAAGACTAACAGATTTATTTGAGCATAAGCTTTCCTGGCTAAAAAACCCACTTCTTCAGGTGCTTGGCGTGAGAGTTACAGATGCAGACATAAATACACTGACACATGGAGTGACCTCCCAAGTGGCGATCCAGGGCTGACAGGGCCAATTCGATCAGGGTGGCTGTGGTCCACGCCCAACAATAGCTGAGGAGGTGTCAATTCCAGGAGAGGCAAAGCTGCCTCTGTAATGAGCCAGCCACTCCCAGCCCCTATTCAAGCCCAAATCAATGGTGTTAAATCTGCAAATGAATTTTAGTTCTGCTGTTTCTCTTTGAAGTCTGTTTCTGCAGTTTTTTTGTGAGAGTACATAGCTACTTTCAAATCCGTTAAAGAACGTCCAGGAAGATTGAAGTGTTCTCCCACCGGCTTTTGTGCGTTACCATTCCTGATGTCCTATTTGTGTCCATTTATTCTTTTACGTAGGGACTGTCCAGTTTGGCCAACATACCTGGCAGAGGGGCACTGCTGGCATATGATGGCATAAATAACATTAGTAGACATGCAGGTGAATGAGCCTCTGATGGTGTGGCTGATGTGGTTGGGTCCTCTGACGGTGTCGCTAGAGTAGATATGGGGACAGAATAGGCAACGAGGTTTGCTACCGGGATGGGTTCCTGGGTTTGTGTTTCTGTGGTGTGGTGTGTAGTTGCTGGTAAGTATTTGCGTCAGGTTGGGGGGCTGTCTGTAAGCGAGGACTGGCCTGTCTCCCAAGGTCTGGGAGAGTGAGGGATCATTTTCCAGGATAGGTTGTAGATCGTTGATAATGTGCTGGAGAGGGTTTTAGCTGGGGGCTGTACGTGATGGCCAGTGGTGTTCTGTTATTTTCCTTGTTGGGCCTGTCCTGAAGTAGGTGATTTCTGGGTACCCAGACCAGGACAGGCCCAACAAGGAAAATAACAGAACACCACTGGTTTCCTCTGAACCACGGCCAAACAACAGGCTTAATTTAATAATTGTGCATCTCATCTGCTGATGAAAAACACAGGAACTCCCAAGCTGTCGTTTTCCAAAAAACTTGCCCCAAACAATTACAAGCTGTGAAATAGCCTGGCAAGGAACTACATATTCTTCTTACCAAAGTACAGTCATTAGAATATTTGCTCTTCTTACAGTGTTTATTGATTTTCTCAGTGTTCATTTTATTCAAGAACCAAGGGTGCCTCACCTGTCTCTCAATGATATGAGCAGTGAGTTAAAGTACTGACAGTTGTTATCCAGGAGATTGAGTAAAATATTTTTGCCAAGCATGCAAACATCAGTCAGTATTCACACTCAGCTGGTCCCTCCACATTATAGTGGATGAGAAGCTGGATATGAGTCAGCAGTGTGCCTGTGTTACCAAGAAGGCTAACGGCATATTGGGCTGCATAAGTAGGAGCATTGCCAGCAGATCGAGGGAAGGGATTATTCCTCTCTATTCAGCACTGGTGAGGCCACACCTGGAGTATTGCACTACAGAAAGTATGTGGACAAATTGGAGAGAGTCCAGCGGAGGGCAACGAAAATGTTCAGGGGGCTGGGGCACACGACTTACATGGAGAGGTTGAGGGAACTGGGCTTGTTTAGTCTTAAGAAGAAAAGAGCAAGGGGGGAATTTGATAGCAGCCTTTAACTACCTGAAGGTGGGTTCCAAAGAGGATGGAGCTCAGCTGTTCTTAGTGGTGGCAGATGACAGAACAATGAGCAATGGTCTCAAGTTGCAGTGGGGGAGGTCTAGGTTGGATATTAGGAAACACTTTCACTAGTGGTGAAGCACTGGAATGGGTTACCTAGGGAGGTGGTGGAATCTCCATCCTTAGAGGTTTTTAAGGCCCAGCTTGACAAAGCCCTGGCTGAGATGATTTAGTTGGTGTTGGTCCTGCTTTGAGCAGGGGGTTGGACTAACTGACCTCCTGAGGTCTCTTCCAACCCTAATCTTCTATGATTCTATAGTACAACAAAGCAACTACTCTGCTGGAATTAAGGACTCTCTCCTCCCTTCCCAAACAGGGACCAGCTCCAGGTGGACCAGCACATGGACAGTACCATGAGAAGCAGCAGAGTAGAGGCCTTTGGTCACTCCCCCCCCCGCACCCCAAAAGGAAACAAACATGAGAAATGTTCTAGAAAGTGAGGTGATTATACCTCCCCCCCCAGCTTTCCCTCAGCACTGAAATGAGGCTACCAAAGAGCTCTGGTGTCTTACAATAATGAAGCCATGAGCTACGATCCTTTGGCTCCAGCCTCACCTCCATGGGCTGGACAGGCAGCCACATTACTGCTCTAATGCATACATGACTAAACAATAAGTGCTATATACCTTCCTCTCTCCCAAAGCAGGTCAGAGCAACTGAGACAGCTTATTTCCATGAAATTGATGTCTGATGCAATTGACACTTCCTCCTCCTGCTCAGCTGGACCCTACTTATTGTCACTATTAGACAAGAAATTGGTTAGACAATAAGTGCCCTGAACTCCATATACTCCTTAAGGTAGTCTTGAAATTTGCTTTGCATCATTGTGGTATTGGGTAGGACTAATGGTCCAAATTTAGGATTAAGAAAGTTGACCAAGAGGTTCCTTACATACAGCTCCCTTAAAAAAAATATCATACATTTCCAAAAAATCACCTAGTGATTGTGTGTCTTTATTTATTTTTGCAGTGCACAGAACTGCAACTCAACCTAACCAACTTTACCTACTTTGAATTTATCTCAACTTTGGCCCAGCATCCATAGCTGCTTTGGGAAAACGGCACTGCAGCTGTTATTGAGGGTCAAATTTGTAACTCCAGGCCAACCTGAGCTAAACTGATGCATCACAGAGACTGAAGCATGCTGCAAGACTCTGCCTGCAAATGCTCTAACTTTAACAGTATGGTGTCACAGGTTGTGTGTAGTCCAAGGTAACCCTAGTCGTATTTAAGATGAGCATTGCACCCATGAACTGAGAGTTTGAACCCTCCCTTGGCAGCTTTCAGATAATCTGTTATGCAGATTTGTTCTCTGTCTGTGTTGTGCAGGAGTTCCTTTTGCAAGTTTCGTTCTGAGCTTCAAGTTTCTGGTTTAAGGCCTGAAGTTTTAAAGTGCTCTAAAATCCACATGGCCTCTCTGATTTTATTTGAGTAGTATCAAGGAAAATAGCATTAATTAAAGAGGGAAGAATGAAAGATTCTCTTTTGAGATTAGCATAATGTAATCACAAGTCATGCACCTGATAAATTTCCAAAACAAATGAACTGAGTGTGATCAAAGGAAAGCAAGTTGCGGGTCATTTTGTCAAGAGGTTCCTGATATACCATCTCCTTAACATGAGCTACTCAACGTTTTTGGTGCAGAATTAGGGAGTGGCATAGTGGTAGTGGGAATTGGGAGGGTGCAATTTAGGGACTGTGCCCCACTGCCAACCCTCACCTTCTTGGGCTGTGCTTTAGAACAGCTACGTCCCAACCCTTAGTTCAACACTAATCTTTCATCTGAAGTCAAGTTTTGTGGTGTTGATTTATGGGGTGTAAAGCAGATCAAACTGCTGAGCTAGTGTAGTTAGTGGAGCTATAAAGCATGGTTATTGATAAATATCTTGTAGAAGATAGCAGCATCAATAGTGAGCGTGCTACGGAAATGAGAGATGGAATTCATTCAGTGGTCACAGTTATTGCTATTCCATTAGTTTAATCTATACTTTTGATAGTTTTCTGGATTTGAAATAAATGTAGCATCCACTTTAAATTAGTATACAAAATTTTATGGATACCAAAAAGACAAAGTAGCATGCACACAATTTTCAAACAAGAGATGAGTATTTTATATTGACTAACATACAATTTCACATCCTTGAAAGGTAAAAAGTCATACAGCTATAACAAGCATTTTTCATTCAGTATTGCCAAAAATTGCAATAGGAAGTAGGCACATCTTGTTTGTAAGAAAAAAATGTTCATTTCTTACAACATACAATGGTAATCAACTGACAGTAAATATTTATTTCAATGTCAAGACATATATGGAAAATGGTCTCTGAAATATTGCACCACAAAGATGGACTTTTACCACCTTACCAGTGTAAGTTACATTACATGTGGACAAACAGATTTATCCACATTTTATGAACAATTACAATAAAAAAGCAAGAATATTTGAGGGGCCTCTCCATGTATAGCAAGCTTAGGGGAAAGGGGGGAAAAGAAAAAAAAAAATCTAGAAAGCAGTTTTCAGTATTCCCTTTGCAATTAAAGATGTAGTTGATTAAGATCTCCCCAACACAGCCCCACTATGCCTTGCAGTGAAACAATTTGTTTTGATAGCCTATTGCCAGATACTAATGCAACATTAAGAAAGTCAGCTTTATGTCTGATGAAGAAAGTAGTTTAAACTGTCAGAGTAAAGTTTGAAACAGATGAATGAAACTGGAATCAAATAGGTTAAATAGTCCCAATTCCCGTATTTAAAAATCAATTCAAATGAGAAAGGCTTGGGCCATCAAAACTGATTTCTTATACCAATAAAATGTACTTTATTTAAAACTATGCATTCTGTCAGAAATATACGTTAAACTTCATACTCCAAGACAAAGTAAAAACATGGTCGCCTTAAAGCACAAAAGCTGGAAAAAGTATAAAAAGTAAAGCTTATGCACTTTGACATTTTACATGTGTGTTGAGCATTACAAAGTATTTGCAAACCAGGAACAGCTACAGGTTCAAAAGATTTCATCTAACATATGCAAAAGAGACAGTTTAAGTGTTTCCGAACAAGGAAA